AGGCTAGCCAATCTAGATACACCACCTGAGCTCAGGAGACTTTGGACAAGCAACGACTCTGATGCAAGACATTTTCGAAACAATATAAGATTTTTCAATGGACACTTCTCGTTTACTACTTTATACTGCAACCTTGATAAAGAAACAACCGACATACGAACAGCTGGTATATACACGTTTCGAGCACATGGTCAAATCTACCATAATATACACTAATTCAGTAACAGTCACTCAGATCCAAAGCATCTGGAGCTATACTTCTATGATGATGATCCAAGCTTGGAGCATCAGTACCGCCGTTGCCGCGAGGAAATGTACGAGCAAGACAAGCAGGTGATTCGAATAATAACCGACATTCTACGTGATAACCCATACTCTCAACAGTTCAGGAGTTTGGGACAAGCCCAGAACCTTGAGGACTACAGACTCATATTGAACCTTGACCAAAGATTGGACCAGAGAACTTACAATGCACCAATCAATTCAGAGGTAGCTGCAGTGTGGATTGAACGAAATGAAAGAAGAGATACTTATGACAAGAATGTAATACTACATGGGAACAACAACAAAATAGAGCACATTCGATCATATTATGGGTGTTATGATCCATTGTCGTACCCTCTATTCTTTCCAAGAGTTGAACTGGGTTGGCATAGGAAAATCCCAAAGAAGGATACACGAGAGGAAGCTATTGATGCTGATGATGTCCATGATGATGATGAACCAGGTAAATTTTCAGACATTGTTCTATCCAAAATTCAATTTACATATATCAAACATTCCTACATATGCAACTAACTTTCCATGTTCCAATATTTGCACAGATTCAGTTAATGGCCTATGGGTAACGATGAAAGAATACTATTGCTATAAATTGCATACACGACCAAACATATTCAACCCAATATTGCATGGCGGACGACTTTTCCAGCAGTTTGCTGTAGATACATACGTCAAGATTGAAAGCTCTAGACTAGATTACATCTGGCATCATCAAAAGGAAATAAGGGCAGATCTATACCAAGGCCTTCTAGACAGCATTCAAGCTGGAGAAGAAAAGGGAAACGCAGTCGGAAAACAGAGAGTACTTGCATCATCATTTATTGGAGGACCACGCGATAAACTTCGCCGGTATCTAGATGCTATGGCTTTGGTTAGAAAATATGGAAAGCCAGACATATTCCTCACAATGACCTGCAACCCCAATTGGGACGAGATCACACGTGAACTACAATCCGGGCAAACACCACAAGATCGCCCAGATATTGTAGTTCATGTTTTTAGGGCGAAGCAAGAAGAAATGAAGAAGCAACTATTTCAGAAGGCCATTCTCGGAAAGGTTATACATATGTTGTAGAGTTCCAAAAGAGGGGGTTGCCACATGCTCACTTTTTGCTGATCATGACCAGAAAATATAAGTACACATGTCCAGAACAGTATGACAAAATCATCTCCGCTGAGCTCCCTAACAAGCACAAGTACCAAAGCTCTACAAAATGGTAATCAAACATATGATGCATGGCCCTTGTGGTGCATTGAATAAATTATGTCCATGCACAAAGAATCGTCCGTCATGCAAGAACAATTATCCAAGGCCATTTACCCAAACTACGATTCAAGGCAAGGACTCCTACCCAATATATAGGAGACGCAATGATGGTCGGACTGAAACGGTCCGATATTGCAAACTGGATAACAGGTGGGTGGTTCCTTATAACCCCTATCTATTAAGGATGTTCAACTGCCACATAAATGTTGAGATATGCTCAAGCATTAAAGCCGTTAAGTACCTGTTCAAGTACATCTACAAGGGTCATGATCGAGCATCTATATCTGTAATTGACAAAGCAAAAGAAGCCGAAATCGACGAGATCCAACAATACCGAGACGCACGCTGGGTGACGCCACCAGAAGCACTGTGGAGAATATATGGCTTCGAACTAAGAAAAATGCACCCGCCAGTCTTGCAACTACAGCTGCATCTCCCAAATATGCACATGGTTTCATATCATGGCAAAGAGAAAATAAAGAATGTTATCAACCGTGAAGGCACAGAAATATCAATGTTGACAGCGTACTTTCATGCAAATAGCTTACATGAGAAAGCACGAGGCATACTGTACGGAGACTTTCCGGAATATTATACTTGGCAAACACACGGGAAGTTTTGGCAAGAGAGAAAACAGGCCGCTCTGTTCCAGGTTGGCAGAATCATCTCAGCACACCCAGCTGAAGGAGAACGATACTATCTCCGAGTTCTCCTAAACCATGTGACAGGCGCCACTAGCTAGGAAGACCTAAGAACAGTCGAAGGACAACTAATGCCAACCTTCCGTGAAGCTGCAGAAAAACGGGGGCTCATTGAGGCAGACAACACATTGGATGACTGCATGACAGAAGCGCAGTTGTTTCAAATGTCATCATCGCTACGAAGGCTATTGGCGACAATCCTGGTGTTTTGCGAGCCCAGCGATGTCCGTAGCCTCTGGAACAAACACCTCGAGTCAATGTCAGAAGACTACATCAGAAACTGCAAATGCAAGCACACGGTCGAACATATGGTGCTTAGAAATATCAGAGACATGTTGCACTCAATGGGAAAAGACATAAAATCATTTCCTCTTCTAGAGATCGAGAAACAACATGAGATGACAGACGACGTACCTAGGGAGATCATCGAGGAGACCTCGATCGAGGTGAACCTAGAGGACGCATCTTTACATAGAAACCTAAACAACGAGCAAAGAAAGGCCTATGATGAAATCCTACATGCAATTGACTGCCAAATAGGAGGCATATTCTTTGTCGATGGACCAGGAGGCACAGGAAAAACTTTTCTTTACAGGGCACTCCTGGCCACAATACGCGGACAAGGCAAGATTGCTATGGCGACGGCCACTTTCGGTGTTGCTGCTTCCATAATGCCTGGAGGGAGGACCGCACACTCAAGGTTCAAGATTCCACTAAAAATAGACGATGGAGCTATTTGTGGATTCACAAAACAAAGTGGGACAACCAAGCTACTTCAAGCAGCATCACTAATAATCTGGGACGAAGCATCTATGACTAAGAGGCAGACAGTGGAGGCGCTAGACAAAAGCATGTGAGACATAATGGACAGACCAGATCTTCCATTTGGTGGTAAAACAGTCGTATTTGGAGGAGACTTTAGGCAAGTGCTCCCCGTTGTTCGAAAGGGAACAAGAGCCCAGATAGTAGATGCATCACTACGCGGGTCCGAGCTTTGGAATTCCATGCGTCAATTGAAGCTTGTGCACAACATGAGGGCTCAAAACAACAAGTGGTTCGCAGAATACCTACTACGCATTGGAAACGGAACCGAGACAAATGATGATACTAAAATACTTCTACCTGCAAGTATATGCGTGCCAAATAAGACGGATGATAATGGCCTGTATAGACTCATCGACAGTATCTACGAAACGGACAATGCTTCCCTAAAAGATCCAAAAGACATCACGTCAAGAGCAATTTTATCCACAAGGAACAACTCCATAGACAAAATAAACCTAAAAATGATTGATCGCTTCAAAGGAGAGGAGATGGTGTACCACAGCTTCGACTCTGTAGAAGACGACCCACATAACTACTATCCACTAGAATTCCTAAACACCCTCACCCCAAATGGACTGCCTCCACATATGCTAAAGCTGAAAATAAATTGTCCAATCATACTACTAAGGAACATCGACCCCGCTAATGGACTCTACAATGGCACAAGATTGGTCGTATGTGGATTCCAGAAATATGCAATTGATGCAGAGATTGTAGTAGGTCAGCACTCTGGAATGCGAGTTTTCTTGCCATGGATACCATTATGCCCATCTGATGACGACATGTTTCCATTCAATTTCAAGAGGAAACAATTTCCAGTGAGGCTAAGTTTTGCAATGACAATAAACAAATCACAAGGTCAGACAATACCAAATGTCGGCGTCTACCTGCCTGAACTGGTTTTCTCGCATGGTCAACTATATGTCGCTCTTTCTAGAGCGACCGTGACATCAAACATAAAAGTATTAACAGGAACACATGATGAGAACAAGGGGACGGATAAGAAGATCAGTGCAGGAGACACAGACACAAAGGAGAACAAGAAGAAGGAGAAGAAGACAGGAAATAATAAGAAGATCGGTACAAAACGCACAAACACAAAAGAGGACAAAAAGAAGAATAATTAAACAATCGGTACAAAGAGTCATACACAGAAAATATTGTCTACACAAAAGTCCTCACCAAATAGGTAATGCAACCTCTCAAATCTTTTTCAAAATTTGTAGGTTAATTTACTAACAACTTACACATTTAAGTTTTACATTGCATTGCTAATTTTCTAACCTTAAATTCATTATTTTAATTCTACAGAACCATTGATTCTACATAACAATCCAAAAGTCAACTTCGGAGTTGGAATTCAAAACTACTTCAGCATCTTCAAGGAGCATATCTTCATGTCTTCAACCAATCACTCATTCATAGTTTTTTCTTTATGATGTGTCCAATTACTACATGGATTAAATTTTGACCACATTGATGGTCTCCATTATGATTGTGCAAACTATGTGTGCAAATTCAGAATCTCTGAGAGTGTATACTTGAATTTGCAATTTGCAGTCCTTCTTTCATACTATATTGTGGCTCTGGATTGTTGTATCAACCAGACTGATATGAACCTACTATGTGAAGACGAGGCTGATGCTTTTGGTTTGCTACTAGCATTGGTTTAAAATTTGTTCAAACACTACACGGTGTTATTCATACCTAGAGCATGCAAAGAAGTTAGTGTGCTTCAGACAGGCAGACGGGCCAGCAGAAACAAAACATTTAAAAGATAACAAAACAGATCACATATATTCAAGAGAAACTTACTCCAAGATTAGACAAAACGAGAACATGATCAGATCAGATTCTAATTTTTAAGTGATTCTAAAACGACCCTAATGCTAACCTAGACTACTGATAGTTATTACACATATAGTTCAACTGTGAAGCAGCAACACTACCAAAGAAACAAAACTAAAAAATATACAGACATTAAAGCATTGAGAAGAAGAAATTTCATTGTTTTCAATATAGTAAGGAGGCTGCTCACGAATAGTGAAAAGAGAATGGTGGTGTTCTAATACCTGGACTGTTGCTACTGTCACAGTGTCAAGCAAAGCATTGGAGGCATAGCTGTTTGACTTTAGCCTTGTTAGCTTTGCTTCAAAGTATACCAAAGTCTTTGCACAAATCACAATTACAGTTGAATCCAAAACCTAAGTAAGCAAAGTGTGAACAATTAGAATAACCTAACTACTAAGTACCATAACAATGATGAGAAATTATGACAATAAATTCTGAAAAGATCCTGATGAACAAACCTCCCATTTCGTGAGTGTATCAAGGGGATAAATCCTTAGGGTCCTGCGTGTACTGGGATCAACCATAGGGATTCCATCCAGACAAATCTGCAGTATGAAAAGCTGACACCTATATAAATTATCAAATTGGTATAGAAAGCACTTGCGCTTTACATTCTAGGAAGCACTAATTTTGCATCCACATAAACAATTAATCCTGGACCAGCCTACCCATACATACAAGATAAGCACAAACAATTAGCGAGGAATCGAGATACCTTGCCGCCGCCGTACCCTGCGCGCCGTACAGCTCCGCCCGGACGACGGCAATAGTCAATAGAGTAGATCAAGGGAATACCGACGGGGTTAGCCCAAATATAAGATCATGGTGGGGAGAGGAAGCGGCGGGCAGAGCCATAGGGGGGGTAGAATGTGCTGGGCGATGTCGTGGCGGGAGAGGACGAAGCATCCGACTGCGTGTCGGGGAGAGGAGGCCTTGGGGAGAGCTTCCGCCAGCCGGCGCCTCGCGCCGACGGCGGACACGAAGGGAAGCGCCGGCCTAACGAGTACAGTGAAAGGAAGCGAGCGGCGTCGTGGTGGTATCGCCGCTGTGCGACAGCAGGAGGACGGTGAGCTGAGGCAGAGGGGAGTGAGTCCGCCGCGTGCAGGAGGCTCTCGAGCAGATCGGGGAGACAGAGCGAGGCTAGACTGAGCAGAAGAGTGCCGGCGCTGGGGACAGAGCAATGGAAGAGGCTTTTTTTAGGGATAGCAATGGAAGAGGCTGGCGTTGAGGGTGTGCCGACTACGTATAGTGGGCTTAAAGAAAGATGGGCCGGGGCTGCCTCTTCAGTGCGTTTCTCTTTTTTATTTTTTTCACTATTTTATGGTTACTCACACAAAAACAATTTTAGTTTCAGCATATAGAATTTTTTCTGACTGGGATTTAACAGAGGTTCAAACATTTCGAAGTTTTACAAACTTTCATGAGAACTGAGTTGGAATTATCACATATTAATATCTCATCATCACAAGTCATAATTAAATCTTATTATTCTCATCTGTTTATTGAGAAATATTCATAACTTTTTCTGAGAATGCGTGTGTTACGTGTACCAAGTCCTTTATGTTTTGTCCAAGCCAAAACAGTGCAAAAAAGTTACAATTAAAATTGTCGGTCGTAGTAAAATAAATGTATTTAAAAATATTTCAAATTTCAAATAATATTTATGAAAATAAAAAAGTAGTGTTATTCTGAACTTTAAAAAAATTGAAAGACCATTCCATGCACCACTACATTTCATCGGATGAAAGTGCGGACCTGAAATACATCCTGACAAACGATGTTAGGGAGGCTTTTATTGAAAACTCATACTCAAGGATACATGTTTACCGACTCTCGTCAAAATTGAATATAAGAAGTGTTGCGGAACGACACAAGGAATGAGTTCTACTAATTTTATCGCCCGTTGCAACGCACGGACATTTGTACTAGTTAAATAAATGTTATTTGATGTTTGCGTTGAGCATAAATATGATTGGATCATGTTTATTGCGATACGATTATTCATTTAAATCAGAGAATTATTGTTGTTCTCTCTACATGAATAAAACCTTCTATGGTCTTACATCCAATGTAAATGGTTTACTGAATCTCGATCACATTGATACACATAATATTGATGCCAAAAGATGCAAAGTTAATAATGATAGTGCTACTTATTTGTGGCACTGCCATTTAGGTCATATTGGTATAAAGCGCATGAAGAAACTCCATACTGATGGGTTTTTGGAATCACTTGATGCCTGCGAACCATGCCTCATGGGCAAGATGACTAAGACTATGTTCTCTGGAACAATGGAGCGAGCAACTGACTTATTGGAAATAATACATACTAATGTATGCGGTCCGATAAGTGTTGAGGCTCGCGGCGAGTATCATTAGTTTCTGACATTCACAGATGATTTGAGCAGATATATGCATATCTACTTAATGAAACATAAGTCTGAAACATTTGAAAAGTTTAAAGAATTACAGAGTGAAGTAGAAAATCATCATAACAAAAAGATAAAGTTTCAACGATCTGATCGTGGAAGTGAATATTTGAGTTATGAGTTTGGTCTTAATTTGAAACAATGTGAAATAGTTCCGCAACTCATGCCACCTGGAACACCACAGTGTAATGGTGTGTCCGAACATCGTGATTGTACTTTATTAGATATGGTGTGATCTATGATGTTTCTTACCGATTTACCATTCTCGTTTTGAGGTTATGCATTAGAGGCAGCTGCATTCATGTTAAAATAGGGCATCATCTAATCCGTTGAGACGACACCGTATGAACTGTGGTTTGGCAAAAACCTAAGTTGTCGTTTCATAAAGTTTGGGACTGCGATGTTTATGTGAAAAAGTTTCAACCTGATAAGCTCGAACCCAAATCGGAGAAGTGCATCTTCATAGGATACCCAAAAAAACTGTTGGGTACACATTCTATCATAGATCCAAAGGCAAGATCTTTGTTGCTAAGAGTGGATCATTTCTAGAGAAGGAGTTTCTCTCGAAAGAAGTGAGTAGGAGGAAAGTAGAACTTGATGACGTAATTGTACCTTCTCTCGAATTGGAAAGTAGCTCGTCACTAAAATCAGTTCCAGTGATGCCTACACCAATTAGTGAGGAAGTTAATGACGATGATTATGAAACTTCAGATCAAGTTACTACCGAACCTCTAGGTCAACCAGAGTGCGATCCGCACCAGAGTGGTACCGTAATCCTGTTCTGGAAGTCATGTTACTAGACCATGATGAACTCATGAACTATGTGGAAGCGACGATGGTCCCAGATTCCGACAAATGGCTTGAGGCTATGAAATCTGAGATAGAATCCATGTATGAGAACAAAGTGTGGACTTTGGTTGACTTAGCCGTTGATCGGCAAGCCATTGAGAATAAATGGATCTTCAAGAGAAAGTCAGACGCTGATAGTAGTGTTACTATCTACAAAGCTTGAATTGTCGCAAAAAGTTATCAACAAGTTAAAGGTGTTGACTATGATGAGATTTTCTCACTCGTAGCGATGCTTAAGTCTGTCCGAATCATGTTAGCAATTACCACATTTTATGAAATCTGGCAAATGGATGTCAAAACTGCATACCTTAATGGATTTCTTAAAAAAAGAGTTGTATATGATGCAACCAGAAGGTTTTGTTGATTCTAAAGGTGCTAACAAAGTGAGCAAACTCCAGCGATTCATCTGTGGACTGGTGCAAGCATCTCAGAGTTGGAATATATATTTTGATAGTGTGATCAAAGCATATAGCACTACAAGGATCCGGTTCTATTGCAACAAAATCGATCGTTGCAATACATGCCGATTTGTGGCGATAAGTACCTATTGCCACAAAACAACATTCGTTGGCAGCCGTTGCGACTGGACACATGGTAATAGGTTATTGCCACAAAAAAACAACCGTGGCAATAAAGTCTGCTATTGCAACAACCATGTGCGAAGTTGCCACATGTTTTCCCATGGCAATACTCACCTGATGCCACAATTTACATTGTGGAGATAGCTTTAATGCAACATGTAACAAATCATGGCGACTAATAGCTCGTGGCGATAGGACATTTGTGGCAACAACCTATGCCAACGACGCTCATTTTGTGGCGCATACTCTTCCGTGGCAATAGTCAATTGTGGCAATAAACTATGGCAACAATCCTTGTTTTCGTGGTATTAGGCATTTTGCCACGAACCACTACACTTGTGGCATTAACTTATGGCAACAAATATTCCAATCATCGTAACAAGAAATTGCAACATACTAGTTTTGGTGGTGATAAATAGATATCACAACGGGTGAAATGTTTGTTGCGAGAAACAATTGCAACAATTTAAACTTTTCGTGGTGCTAACATGTGGCGACCAAAAGTGGGTTGTGGTAATAGCTTATTGCAACCATAAAAAAATACAGGTATTCAATTACAATATTCGAAACCATATGTATAATATGTTGATTCATAAAATTCATAATTCTAATAGCAAATATCCAACAAATGATACTCAAATGTAATTTAGCCATCCTAATTAAGGGCCAAGACTAAACTATCCATGATCTAGAGTCCAATGGAGCTAGACCTTTGGATCCTGCAATCAAGAAATAAAAAAAATAGTTCTAGTTAATGAGCCCAACATAACATACACCATACAATTATTCTAGCCCCATGGTTAAAAATAACTATCGCCAAACTAACTTGAGATAATACTGTGTCAACAAGCATGTAACTCAGGGATCAGAACAGTTTTACAAGTGTAAATGTCTAAAGCATAAGCACGAGTACATGTACTAAAAGCATCCACTATTGATTTAATTTGTGACTCAATCTATAGTTTCACCATCGTACTTGATCCAGCCTTGATGTTCACGAGCGTGTCTGCCTCCCACTCCGTGGTGCGCAGCTCAAAGCTAAACCAAACCAGCTAGGTCACAATGGTTAAGTGACGCTGGACCAGGCTGCCGTCAAGCAGGAGCAGCCTAATGCAAACCGCACTTCATGCACTTATGCACCTCACATATTAGAAGTTTGCATATTAGAAAATGAAGGAGGATATTAAACTACCATGTAAAAAAAACACTAGATCAATTGTAGATTAAAAAAATGACAAGAACCCATATTCATTTACATGAGACATGTCATATGATTGCATACCAGAAATAAGCAAGTTCAGGTTTCTTAAGGATGAGAAATCTGCTCCTAAAATAACAATGCTATGTGCAGACTTGGAGAATGACATGACATGTTATTTACTACTCCATAAGTATGATTGTACCTAAGCAAAAATGCCATTCTACTACCACAACCATCCATTCAACTGGCAAGATCCAACAATACTAGTCAGCGCACAAATACTAACGTCACAAAGGCATGAGAGAATAAAGGAAACCAAGAGAGATACATGTGGATGATAACATCGGCGGTGATCTGGATTGAGTTAGCATCGGTGAGGAGATGGATGATCTCCATGGTGTGATTGATGACCCGCATGGCCATGATCTTGTTGCTGTTGTTGCATCCGTGCACTCGATGATGGG